ACACACACACACACACACACACACACACACACACACACACACACACACACACACACAAATAATAAAATATCTTTTCAGCTCCAGCCATCAAAGGGCCCTCCCTTTCATTTTATTAGTTACAGAATTATCTCACAGTTGCTGATTTCTCAGAGATGGAGCCACACTGCTTTCCATCATCGCACTGTTGTGGTTGCACAGATGAGATAAAGTTGCCGTGTATTCATAAAGAGCGTGCATGTGTGTTTTGCACATGTAAAAAGCAAGCTGTGTGTGTGTAAAAAAGAGCATGCTAGGAGAGAAGAAAAAAGGATCATAAAAGCGACAGTGGCAGCCACCGAGGCTACAGATGCTAAAGGCTGGACATGCCTGATTGCTCCTCTTTTCTTCTCATTTTCAAAGCGATATCATCGTGACCAGCAAAACAGTCATGAAAGAAAAGAAAAAGGATGATGTGTGGTGTTGTGTGTGTGTGTGTGTGGGGGTGTGTGTGTGTGTGTGTGTGTGTGTGTGTGTGTGTGTGTGTGTGTGTGTGTCCTCATTACTTCTGCTTGCCTCTGCAGTTCTCTCCCCCGAACACGAGCCGAGCCAAGAGCAGGAGCTGAGATGTTTGTCGCGATCCCTGCCTCCTGTTATTGTTTGTGCTCCTCTCTCCTCAGTGACATCCCGGTGGTCTCTGTGCACCCCCCTGACAGACCTGCTGAGGCCCAGTTAACTGTCACCCAGTCTGAAGCGGAGCTCTGTGACAGCTGCAGCAGCCTGGGCAGACCCTCTTCCTCCTTCCAGCTTTATCACCAAGTAGGCCTGCAGCAAGAGTTGGAGCCAGAAACTCATTTTTAGAGTCTTCTCAAAAATAAAATAAAAAGATGTAATATTTGTTAATGTCGTCTTTTTCTCCTTGAGGTCCCCCAGCGTCTTCAGGCTGGAGACTGTGACTCTCCACAGGTCCCAAAATGCCCCCACTGCAGCCATCTTGGGCAGGTCAGACGGTGCAGATGCCACAGCTGTCCCTCCACCGGTCCCTGTGCAGAAGGAAAGGGTTCTGCCCATCAGSGGTCCTGCCATGGTCCGGTGAGATATCACTGGCTGAGGGGGTCCAACAAAGACGGGACCCAGAAGCTGAAGCAGAGACYTGTGGTGACAGTGAGGTGGGTTCCAGGTGTTTCTTTCCTCATYTTAAACTGAGGCTGATGGGTCGTAACATCTTTCTGCTGTTAACAGGAATGGAGGACTTTACRGCTTTGTTAAAAAGTAAGAGCTGGATCACATGTTTAATTGTTTTTGTTATTTGACCCAATGTGTGTCTCTGACTGTTTTGTCTTTTTGRTTCCAGATATTCCCAGGTAATAGTGGAGTATCCGTCCACAGTCCTTCTGGGTTGTGCTCTGGTTCTGCTGGGGTTCTCACTGGCTGGACTCTTCATTGGTCCTCTGCCGGACTTCTCTGATCCCCTGTTGGTGAGTCACTGATCAGGATGAGTCATGATCACAGGTTCTCTGATCACCGGTGAGCTCATCTTCATTTATTCCAGTCCCATCTGTGATTAAACAAAACTGGATTTACATAGATAGATAGATAGATGGATGGATGGATGGA